AGATAGATAGATAGATAGATAGATAGATAGATAGATAGATAGATAGATAGATAGATAGATAGATAATGATAGATAGATAGAGAGATAGATAGAGAGAGAGATAGAGAGATAGATAGAGATAGATAGTGCTGATAAATAAAACTGAAAAGCTAGGCATGCTCTTGTGTGTCTATAATCTTAGTGCTGAATCACAGTTGGCTACTTGGACTCACTGGCTAGCTAGCCTAGAATATTTGGCAACAAGTTCCAGGCTTCTGAGAGATATGTTTCAATAAAACAAGATTGATGGGGCTGCCAAAATGACTCAGCGGTTAAGAGCACTTACTGTTCTAGAGGATCCCAGTTTGGTTCCTAGAGCCATGTGGTAGCTCACAACCATCTGCAGCTCCATTAATAAATACTAAAACAAAACAAAACCCCAAGGTACTGACCCCTGAGCGATGATACCCAAGGTTGACATCTGGCTTCCACATATGTACACAAATTCATGTGCATTTACATAAACACATGCAAAGACACACAATTGTTTTTAAAATTGAACGTCCTAACAGTCTAATCCAAAAATAATTTGACACATGATAATGAATAATGGTAGAAAAATATTAATATTTTTTTGTAATTAAGTTTTCCTAAGAGCAGAAACGTAAAACAAAAACAAAAAATGCTCTGGTTCATAACTTAGGGTAGTTTTTAAATTTTTTTAATTTTAAAATTCAAAAAAAAATTCAGGGGTCATCCACCTTGGGGTTTTGTTTTGTTTTGGTGTTTGTTTAATGAGTGTGCCCCAGTGTATTAGGTACTCTAGGAGCCTGCAGAAGTCAGAAGAGACTTTGGGATCCCCAGGAAATGGAGCTGCACATGGTTGTGAGCTACCACGTGGCTGCTAGGAATCAAACCAGGATCCTCTAGGATTTTAACATTGTAAAAGTTTTGAATCCAGGGCTGGGTGTTTCTGACACCAAAGGCCCGAGTGCACAAGTTGTGTGCTCAGCTCCAAAGCCGCAGTGAAGCCTTCCAGGCAGCAAAGGTGGGCAGTGCCACAGACACCAAAAATTCAGTGCATTAGTCTTCAATTACTTCTTAGTTATTGTGTATTTGCTAAACTTCTCATGTTTCCCACATTCAGTTATATGACCCCATACGGAGTCCTGATCCACAGTCTAAGAAACTGGATTCTAGGGCTGGAGAGATGGCTCAGAGGTTAAGAGCACTGACTGCTCTTCCAGAGATCCTGAGTTCAATTTTCAGCAACCTCTTGGTGGCTCACAACCATCTGTAATGAGATCTGGTGCCCTCTTCTGGTCTGCAGCATATATGTAGGGAAAACGCTATATACATAATTAATAAATAAATTTTTAAAAAAAGTTGTTTGGCTAGTGAGGGTGGAGGAGAATGGCTGGGGACTTGGTTTTAAGGACCTGAGAGGGAGCGAGAATGACTCCTAGGAGGGCTAGAGAGATGGCTCAGTAGTTAGGAGCACTTGCTACACTTCCAGAAGATTCCCAGTCCCCACATGGCTCACAGCTATCTGAAGCTCCAGTTCTAAGGCATCCAGTGCCCTCTTCTGGCTTCTCTGGGCATCAGGCACATATGTGCTGCACAGACATGCACGTAGGCAAACACACACATGGAGTGGGGCTGGGCTAGACAGAGGCCTCAGCAGTTAAGAGCTCCTGTTCTTGCAGGGACCCACATGGCTACTCATAACCATCTATAACTCCAGGTCCATGGGGATGTGACTCTCTCTTCTGACCTCCATGGGCACTAGGCACATATGTGTTGCACAAACGTACATGCAAACAAAAACTCATAAATCTGAAGAAAAGAAAAACAGAATGGAAAACGGGGCTTGGGAAGAAGGGGAAAGGTGGAGAAACTTGGGGAGAGTATGGGGCCCAGGGTTAGGACACTGAGCTTGATTTAGGGAGTCTCATCATGGTATGTCTGGATGTGAGACTCCGAGGCCTCCTATATTTCTGGTTGTCCACTGGTGCCTTGACCTGGACTTGGGCTGGCTATGGCTGGATCTGTGCACGTGGCCATGCCTGAACCATGTGGGGATACAGGAAAGGTGGCTGAGGTCAGAGCTATTCATTAGGAAGTCAGTCCTGCTCTTGCTAGGCTGCCTGCCATTCTTGGCAAGAACTCTGGGGCCAGACCTGGAGGGCCATGATCCAGATCTGCTACGTCACAGGCAGGTTCTGTGACCTTGGGCATCTCTTCACATTTTTTTCCTACCTCTGATAGCCGTTTCTGAGTTAGATGTGTATCGTCCCCCATGATGATCTGAGAACCTAAGATGAGCGCTCCTGCAATAACCCCAGTTCTGAACCCATCTGTGTCTCTCAGGCTGGGGGTGATCTAGGCCAGGGTAGGGGGGATTCCGGCATCCCGGCAGGAGAGTGGGGTAGGGTGGGGCAGCATTGCTGACCTAAGCCAGTATTAGCCATTATCCTTCTCAGGAATGCTTACTGTCCCACCTGAGAGTCACTCTTTAACGGGGAGGCCAGAGTACACCTTGTCCCCCACCTCTGTGCCCTATTTCTTTGTTCACCCACTACTGTCACCCATGTGTGTCTGTCCTCGACCTGTGGTCTCTGCTCTACTCTACATCCCAGATGGGGGTCTTAACTGGCTGTTTGTAGACCACTGCTGCGCCTACTCGCCAGATGGCTAGGAGGTTTTAAAATGTCCCTTAGATATGTTAATGAGTAGCTTGGCCCTTGCCAAGGCACTTGAGTGTTTCTGAGGCTCTGGGAGGTAGCAGTGGCAGCCTGTCTGATTGAGTTTAACCTTCCCCATGTTGGTTAGGAAGGGGCATGGTGTGGGCAAGCCACTCCTCCCAGAGGCGGGTCCTTCCTACGCAGATCGTGCCCTCTTCT